TAGACCAGGCTGGCCTTGAACTCACAGAGATCCACCTGCCTCTGCTTCCCAAGTGCTGGGATTAAAGGCATGTGCCACCACTCCCGGCTTAATTTTAGTTTTTAATTATGTAGATGCATGTGTGTCTGTGTGTGGGTTTGTGTACATGTGTACAGTGCCTCTGGAGGCCAGAAGAGGGCATCAGATCCCCTGGAGCTGGAGTTACAGGTGGTTGTGATCCTCTCAGTGTGGGTGTGGGAACTGAACCTGAGTCCTCTGGAAAAATAGTGTAGATGCTTAACTGCTGACCCATCTCTCCAGTCCTGTGACTATTTCTTTTACCTGTCACCTTTGAGAAAACCCACACAGCACACACAGTGGAGCAAACACTTTACGAATCAATTCTAGGCTGGGCATGGCAGAGCACACTTTTAGCTCCAGCACTTAGGAGGCAGAGGCAGGTGGATCTCTGTGTGTTCAAGGCCAGCCTGGTCTACATAGCAAGTTCCAGGCCAGTGGGGGCTACAGGGAGACCCTGTCTCAAAAAGGCCAAAAAAAAGAAAAACCCAAAACAAAACAAGACAAAAAACCCAACAATTCTAGGCTTAAAAGCCAGAGAAGAAATAGATGTTGAAACTGAATGGTGAGTTTGGTCTTCATGGCCCATGAAGTAGACTACATACATTTCTAGAGAAGGGCACAGGTGCTCGCCTTATCCTGAGACTAGATGCCACCTCAGGTAAAGTGTCCCTGATTTAATGACGCAAGTGCCTGTGGGAAGCACTTCAGAGGAGCTAGAGGGGGGAGAGCTCTGGAAGCAGAGGGCCTGTCCCCTTGCACACCCTGTACTATGAGAGCAGCTTATGTTCCACCCTGTACCTCTTGCTGATGGCGGTGTGGGCTGCCAGACATAGACCCCAAAAAGGACGAAGTTCTTACTCACCTTGTCGAATGATGGTGGTAGGCTCTCCACTGTGCAGGCTGGCTCTCCCAATGGAAGGCTCACTGATGTCCGTCCAGTAAACCACCTTGTCTACACAGTCAAAGGCCAGTCCAATGATGACTTTTGCCTAGAAGTGAAAACAGCTATTGAGACAGTTCACTCCCCAGCTAGAGTTGGTGAGAACCCTCCTATGTGTTTATATGTCATTGGCTAGTATTTTAAATGAAGTAAATATCTTTTTTCCATTTACATTTTTTAATTTTAATTTTTT